TTATAAAGGCTCCATACTGATATTCTCAACCCCTGTAATGAATGCCTTGATTATGGAAATGCCAACCTCCTTTGGAATCTGAATATTGTCCGTCTTGGACAACGCCTCAACATGACAAGATTTGTGCTTCTCTTAATCACCAAGGGAGGGTATTACAGAACCATCATGAATGGAAAATCCCATTAAGACGAGGGGGTCTGCCATTATAATGCAGTCATTTCATAAATCAGACGAAATCCACATACAGCTTGCTGTCAGGATCCACCCTCCCCAGCGAGCCCTTTTTTGGTGCATCCGTGATAATGACAGCACTTTATTTGGGACCACCGAAGGTCGCCATCTTTCTTTTTTTTCCCTTTTTTTCATGCAAAAATTAGCCAGGGACTTGTAATTAATTGCTGCTATGAACTCCTGCAGCCTTGTTTGTTTCTTTGGGATTCATTAAGACATGGAGCACTTAGCAGGATGTGAAAGCAGGTAATTTTCAGCTCTCTCCTGGACTATTAGCTAAGATATCTTGAACACAAGGGCGGCATCCAAGACAAACAGGAGTCAGAACAAAGTTTTTTTTCTTTTTTTTTTCTTCGGACTACATTAATAAGACACAACCCTGTGGCCTGTTTGTTTTTCAAATAAGGTGTTATACAGATTTCAAGGTATTTCACAGGTATAGATTTCACAGGTTTCAAAGTAGCTTTCAAGTAATCGGAAATTCCCTACAGCGCTCAAGAACTGCTTAATTCACAATGACAGAGTGAAGAGGAGGTCATGTTATACTGTATGATACTGTTCCCTAACGCCTCCTACTGTCACTGTCTTCATCGGTAGCCAATAAAAGTCTGAGGAGTGAACATGCCAAGACTTTACATTCAGTGCACTTTAGGTTTAAAGTCATTCTGATTTTGATCATGCTGGCCACTGTTTTGCATACAGAAACAGTATGACAGCTGAACTATAGTGGTATAACATTATTTAACATTCTTGGATGGTGGCAGAGTAATGTGCCACCCGCAGCCCATCTGTCCAGTGGGAGAAGCAGATCCTCTGCCAAAGGATCTCAACGTGTTGTGAAGACTTTCCAAAGCTCAGAGGGCTGGCTCAGGGCTCAGCAAGGACCCACAGAGAGCATCATTATCTACTACAGCGTTAGAATTACTTATAAATGCATCAGGCTGTGACACAGCTACAGCATTTAAACGCTACTCAGTCAAAACATGCCACCACCCTCTCAGCATACCTGTCACAGATTCATACAGACATCCGTTGCAGGTGGCTGTAGCAGGTTCATCCAGTTCTGAGCTGGGAGGGTCACAACAGACTCTCCAGTCGCCCCCCTCTCAAGCGGGATCAGTAGCTGCTACAGTGAACTGCTGAGCGTCCTGCTCTGGCGGAGCTGTCACAGCCGATGACAACCAGCCGGAGAGGCTGAAAACACCAACTTCTCCTCCTGACGGGGCGACCCCGCTCTACAATACGGTTAAGTTACAACAGACTGACACAGAGCGAACACAGGCACCGACCGGGCGCGTCCGTAAAAATAAATGTCAAGGCGGAGGAGTGTCCCGCCGCTCCCCCTCGCGTCTGTCCTCCAAATTCCCCTGATCTCTCACTCGCTGATATGTCGGGTTCTCCGAGTTATTATCCAGCATGCACCTCTCTCAGTCAGAGCACCGTGGACCGCACATCATCATCCTCACCACCACCGCCACCACCAGCCACCTGGATTTACTGAACCAGGCTGCGTCTGTCAAATAAAGGCTGGTAGTCTCATGATAATCCAGTGGTGAATTAAAGTGCCCCTGTTGCACTTAATGGTGAGTTTGGATTATAGGGACCTTCTGGCACTATTTTATCTCTACGCAACCGCTACGGAATAACAAAAGCTCTTCTAGTCTTGATGTCAAGCGCTGCTGTAAATACTCGTGATTCCCATCTTAAAATCTATAAGCAGCGTGAGTGACAAAGGTGCGCTGAGCATCGCACAAACAATACACCAGGAACTGACGAGCAGTTAAGGCAGCTTTATGGTGGAAAACGCACTTTACAGAAACATATTCCCAGTTTTACAATCGCAACATGTGCCTCTGCCATATGTCAGCAGACAATGAAGCGTTTCGTTGTATTTGTAAGAACATGAGCTTGCAATGGTGATTGATGCCTTTTACACCAGAGGATAAGATCCACATGAGCCAAATGAGAAACACTCTGTAAGTCTGAATACAGAAGACGAGATTAATCTCAGCAGTAACATCGGGTTATCCATTATTAGCCTACTCAGATGCATCTACAATGAACGCAGCCTCTAAACATAGACAGCAGAAATCACCCAGTACGATCCCCGCTGCGCTCCGACTTCTCCGCGACAGAGAGCTCGCTCTTACCGGGTGGCGAACCACGCTCTTCCCCTCTCTGGTAATTTTCCTTTTCACACCACGGCCGGGCATTTGCGAATCAATTCAGCATGCAAAAGCGCAGGTTTCCCCGTAGGGACATGAATGATGAGTGTGCGTGTTAAATTGTCCATTTTCCATATCTACAACAGTCCACACACGACCCGCCTCCGGGCGGTGCTGATTGGTTCAGAGGCTCCTCGACGTCTCAGTCGCACGGTAAAGAAAAACACACACATCTGGATGCGACCCCGCGCAACTGGAGCGCTCTGGAAGCACCGAATTACGCACAGGCATTGAACCGACATGGAGGAGCGTCACATTTCTCCAGGCTCCTTTAGATGTAGTCTACTGTTTGTTGCGGCTGAGGATAACAATCGTGTCACCTTTGCGGAAAGTATTGTTTCAGATTCACCACTTGTAGACGCTGGGCCACCATCGTGAAGGTGATTTTGAACGAGGGGCACCAGTTTGGGAGGATTTTTTTTGTTTCAGCATTTGAATTCTACAAGACAATAGTTGTCGGCCATAAGCCAGTGGTGATGTGAATAAGTTGGCATATGTAACGCATTAATACTCCAGAGTAAATTACAATGAAGTAAAATGCTTCGTTATTTTGGTTCCACAGCCTATTAAGGATCTGCAGGGGGAGGCCCAAAGAGCCCAGATGTTTATTTTAAAATTCACCACTAGCAGCACTATTTTCATTATATGGGCTATGTGGCTTTCTAACTACCATGCCTCAGTACATTTAATGTGGCACAGCATAATAATATCACGGGGAACAGAGCTGAGGTGACACAGCGCCTTTATTTCCACAGTGAAACCGGCATTTCTGAGACTCTTGCGCCGCCCTGCGTCCGGAACAAGTCACTTCCCCTCCTCTGCTTCCACTGTTGGAAGGATATCTTATCCCTGGACCTGTCTCCTGACTCCGACGCAGCGCAGCAAGTGTGGAGAGAGGCAGACTGAGCAAGGGAGACTAATCACTGAGCAACAGTGGAGAGGCTTTCTGAGGATTAGTGACAGCTGTCACAGTCTGGATGTGGTTTCAGGAAAAAGAAAAGAGTGCGTCCAGAATCAAAATGTCACAATTGTTAGAAAATAAGTTCACAAATAAATCGTATTAAACACTGACAATTGAAACTACATTTTAAATCATTATTGTTGTTATTATTATTATTATTATTATTATTATTAGTAGTAGTAGTAGTAGTAGTAGTATTGGTAATAGTGGTAGTAGTAAGTAGTAGTCTGTTAAGAAGCTGGAACCAATAGCCTACATGTTTTATAATTTTTGCTAAAAAAACATAAATAATGAATGTCTAATTGATTATCAAAATAGTTGGTGATTAACTTTCTGTGGGACTACTGTTCCCAAGGTCAAGAATGAACTTTAGAGCTCTAACAAACTTACCTTCCTGCAGAATTTTGTTTAGGTCCAGTTCAATTTGGACTTGCTCATATCAGGTGGATGGATTATTCTACAATAGAGTCTAATTGGGAGTTATGCAATTCAGTATATTAACAGGATTTGATTTGGAATTACATTAACAGGACCATTATGAAAAGATGTAGCCTATATTGTAACCAAGTAAATTTAATTAATGTAGCCAAGGTGACAAGGCTGTTGTTTGCTAACAACCGCCCTGTAGAAAAGATTATGCACGGTTCTATAGAGTCGCAAATTAATTAGCTCTAAAATTTTGCTTGGGAATCCCTAAGGACCCTTTCATGGACCATTGCTAGTCCCCACAGAGAACCACATAAGGGCAAAGGTCATTTGCCCTATTTAGCTGAATATTTGTGTTCTATGCCAGTTTTTTTCTTTTTCTATTTTAATTAAATCATAAATCAGTACAAACACAAAATGTCTGATATATTTCCATGGTTTTTCTTTTTTTCCCCCATTTTTTGTATTTCATACACGCAGTAACACAAACAGAAGGAAGATTTCTTTTTTAACTTATTCATCCATATTTAAAAAGAAATACAAATGCACACAAATATTTGGAAGTAGGCCTATCCTATATACATAGATTTGTAACTGCTTATGGATATACCTACTCTCATTTATGAATTAATGTAAAGATGTATAACCTACTAACTAAAGACTAATGAAAAAAACAAGGCTGGCTGAGTTGATCAGTATGCTTACACACTTGGTTGGCAGTTCATTAGGAAGGATACAGTCTAATGCAACAGTCCTGCAATAAATCCTTCCTTCGTGAAGGTGAAACTGTTCAGGTTTTTAAACTGTTTTAAAGAGGTGTTGAATCAACTTTATGATGATTTTAGAGGATGAGTATGTTGGCGCTGTTGAGCTGTCTTCTGGTATACTGAGATTTATTTTTGTTATTTAGTCTCCCTCTATGATATAAAAAGGGTGGTGGGCACTGCAAGCTACGGCTTCATTATATGTGTCATAAAAGGTATGATTTATTACAGGACCGTTGTATGAGACTAGTGGTACATTCCCATATTTTCCACGCACCCTGAACGCAGCATTAGGCTCCTCCCAAACCAGAAGTAAAACCGGGTGAAACTGTGAGTTGTTTTTTTCCCTGAGTGAAACCTGTCAGGAACTGCTGTCTAACATATTCTGTTGCTGTCGCTACGATTGTCAAACCAAACGACTGCCTGACAGACTCTCCTGAGGTCAATAAAGCCATATTAACAATTGATTGAAACGGTTGTACGAAGCTGCTGCTGCTGCTGCGCTGGTGATCACACATAAGCCGTCTTCAGTAAGGAAAGGTACGGGTTTGATTAGAATTGACAAACATGCAGGCCTCAGATTTTCACTTAGTGGTAATGTGGTTGGTTTTGCTCCAGGCTGCTGCTAGGTAAGCATGACTCGGACTGTGAAACCATTATGTAGCTAATATATATATGATTCTTTCAGGTCATAACATTAAAAACAGTTCCATTGCTCTATTCTTTAAAAGAAAGTTATTTTGGGGCATTTTCAATGCCCTATCTATTTTTTGTACCTTCAAAGCAGTAAAATCTAATTTATTTACAATAGGAAAGACCTCATGTTATGCAAGCTGTTTGGTTGAGTTCCTCCCTACGTCAGAGTTGTGTAACCCACGTGATGCTTTCATTTCAAGATGCTGGATCAGTTATTCTTGGGGCAAAACCATGGAGGCCACAAGCTCTGACTTTCCAGTTTTGCAATGTGTTTACACATTAGATTACTCTGTATAAATGTACACAACCTTTAACCTGCTCTGTCTGCTCTGGCTCCTTTATCCTATTCTTCTGTAATTATCAACCAGTGGAGTCAGACACACTTGGGTCAATGAGAATCATGGTTTTGTAACCCCACAAGCTTGTTAACTGCTCACTAATGGCTTGTTTAATGCTCTGGTGCAACATGTAGCTACTTGTCAATCCAGTGCCCCCCCCCATATTTCACACACACACACACACACACACACTGTGCAGCTGTTGTACATGTGTGTGCGTGCAGGATTGTGTGAAAGTGTGTATCATGCGTTCTCACCTGTCTGCTCCAGACACAGATACAAATGCTATTCTCTTCATTCTGCTCTTTTGTCCCCTCCCTGTAGTTGTCAGAGTCCGGCAAACATATCCAGCATGCTGGCACCGCAGGCAGATCGGGTCATGGCACTCGGAGAATGGGAGGAACGCTGGCAGGAGGAGAGAACTGGCTTCCATCAGCCTCATGTACACAAGTAAAAAAAAACAAAAAAAAACTACTAATACTTTCTTCTACCTACTCAGTGGAATAAGGGAGAACAAAAAGTCTTGCAAATTCATGTATGATTTAACAACATAACCCCCTGTCAGTGATCCTGTGAAAATGTCAGAAAAGCTGCACAAACAAATCAGTTATTTACAAGGCAAATAAGGACTTTCATTCATGTGCTGCACCCTTGAAGCTCACTCTGATTGCATGTCAAGTCAACTTATTTGTATAGCGCCAATTCACAACATAAGTTACCTCAAGGCACTTTTCAAATAGAACAGGTCTAGACCTTCTCCTTATAATATTATTTACCAGAACAATTCCCACCAAGGGGTTAGGCAACAGTGGCAAGGAAAAACTTCCTTTTAACAGGCAGAAACCTCGAGCAGAACTGGACTCAGGGTGGGCAGCCTTCTGCCTTGACCAGTTGTGTTGGGAGAGATAGAGAGCGTGCAAGCAGGAGAGAAAGAGAGAGAGCAAGAGAGCACACAGAGGAAAAGAACAAGAACATGCAATGACAGTAATAATAATAGTAGTGAAAGTTGCGTCTGTAACAGCAATAATAGTGTAATGGTAACTGTAATGCTCCTACTGATGAAAGTAATACTGAAAGCTAATAACAGTAATAATAATTATTATTATCAATTATAGTAAATTTAATGGTAAAATTTAAAGGAAGGCAATAAAGAAAGAGAAGGGAGAGAGAGGCACACAGCCTGGGTGCTCATGGGCTTGTTGGAGACAAGTTTTTCTTAAAGTTAATAAGTTTAAATGGAGTGTGATATAACTAGCTATTAAGAATAAATGAGCAGGAACGCCTGGTGGTGTGTTAATATTGGTTTTGTGGTTTTCTTTTTTTGACAGGATGCTGGAGAACAATATTGATAAAGTTCTTGCCGGACGGACAGGAGTTCGCTTCTTCTTCCCTCTCTGTGGGAAAGCAGTAGATATGAAGTGGTATGAAACAGCTTATTATATCCAATAAGGATCCCATTTGGTGTTATTATTTCTGCTAAAAATACCAGTTGTCATTAAAAACACCCTATAATTAAAACATTTTCTCAGTGATGAAAACAACGTACTTCTAAAGTCTCTCTCCTTTCTGCGTGAATACCAGGTTAGCAGATATGGGCCATTCAGTGGTTGGGGTGGAGATATCAGAAAAGGCCATAAAACAGTTCTTTGAGGAGAACAACTTGACCTACAGTGAAGAGCCTGCCCCTGCCATACCTGGAGCAAAGGTTTATAAGGTAGATAAAGTGTATATATGCAGAAAGGGTGAGGGGTGACAATGTTAATGATTAACATTTTGCATGTTTTATTGTTTTTGACAGAATCTGCCATTCCTGTGTTGGATTCAGTTTGCCTTCTCTCTCTCGCTCTCTCTCTCACACACACTCACACTCTCTCTCACACTCACACTCAAACTCACACTCACACACACACACACGGAATGTGCAAGAATGATGCAGCGAGCAATCCAGTGTTACTGTCTGTAATGTTATCACACAGATATCAGCGTCACTGTTTTTTTTTTTTTTTTTTTTAAATCATAATTCACAAAATTCTGCAACCACTTCCTTTACACTTTCAAAAATTCTAAACACTATAGTATGCTCTAAATACTGAAAATATGGGATCCTTAGTAAATGGGACTAAAACATGCAAAACTACTGGTATTACACTATTAGAGTCTGTTGGTCCAGTTAATGCAATAATTATATGGGACCCTTCTGTATAAACTCATGTATTGCCCTGTGAGTAAAAGACACCACTACCTGTGCACATGTACTGAGAAAAAGAGTTTGTCTTTGTTCTGCAGAGCTCAGAGAAAAACATCTCCTTATATCAATGTGACCTGTACAACTTCTCCAGGTAGGTAACCAGTGTGTATGTGTGTATGTGTCCCTTTAAAAGGTGTGTATTCCTTACTTACAATTACTTTTTCTCAATTTCACAGTTCCATCGAGGGTCAGTTCGGGGCAATCTGGGACAGGGGATCTCTGGTGGCTATCAACCCAAGAGACAGAGAAAAGTAAGATGAGACTGAACCCTCCACTGAGCTTTTATATTCTTTTTTTTAAGACCCAACATAGAAGCAGATGGTTTATAGTTCAGACCAACCTGAAATGCAATTAAAACCGCATGAAAATGTTTAAATTTAGAATTTGACTTATGGTAATTTATTCTCTCTTACAATACCACAGGTATACTGCTCTCATCATCTCTCTCATGGCTAAAGACTGCAGATATCTTTTGGACACTTTGCTGTACAATCCCGAATTATATAAAGGTAACTGTCAATATTGTCTGTAAAACATCAGGCACTGTGGACACGTATCAGGTCTTAAACCAAAAGGAAATATCCTTCTGTTTATCATTTATTTTGCATATTACGAAGTCTGCAGGGGACCTGTGCGTTTGTATGAATATGGTGAAAGATGAAACATATTTGTGACTATTTGTTTTTCAGGTCCTCCCTTTTTTGTGCCTGATGAGCAAGTGCACAGCCTGTTTGGTAAGTGTTGTTGACACTAATCATGAAACTAAGGCTTATAAATTAACCAAAACATGTGAAGAGCAGAGGTGATACTTGGATACCTGATACCTGTTAGAAATGTGAGTACTTTTTTTGCTAACAGTCATAGAGATGAATTTGTGCTTTTTAATGGTGCCTTTCCTTTCCTCAGGGAACAGCTGTGATATCGAGCTGGTGCACTCGGTGGATGCCTTGACAGACAGACAGCGAGGCTGGGGGCTGGACTACCTGACCGAAAATGTACACCTCATCACTCTAAAGAGCAGTTAAAATTATTTTATGCTTACACATCTTCTTGATAAAGCTCAGTTTTAGGGGAAAATAGAGGTGAATGGAAATAAGATGTCAAAAGAATTTCTACTCAAATTTTCATAAATGTTTTCATAATGTAACATAAACTGTTTTCAATGCCTGACGAAATAAAACATGTTTTGTAACAAGATGTCTGTGGCTTAATTGAAACATCTTGGATATCAGACACCTGTTGTGTATTACTGACAATATTAACAGTTTTAACCAGGCAATTTTTATACATTTAAGGAACTATTTTTCTTAAATAAAATGCAACTGAGAAAACTGAAAAGAAGCTAGAAAAGCTAGAAAATCACAACGTCAAAGGAAGGAAATCTTAAAAAAAAAAAAAAAAAAAAGTAAAATGATGCTATAATGTATAAAATATCAGTCTTTGAAATCTTTCCTTTCTCCACAAAGCACAAATATATATCCAAAGGGAACAGATATCCTCCAGTTATCAGTCTATGATGTGAAATTGTAGGTGGAGGAAAAAACAACAACAACAACAACAGATTAAAGTTTCATGAAATCTACAAAAAGTAGATTACATTAAGAATCCAAGCCCATTTTATACTTAGATCTTGCTTTACTTTATTGCTATTTGGGTCCCCACAGACCACACTGCTGTATGTGAGGAAAATAATAACAGTAATTGAAATCAATTTTCTTTCCTTTTTCCTCATGTTATTGAAACCCAAGACAAATTAATGTAGGCTATAGAAGTAATATTCCTTTGCCAAAAACTGGGCTTCTGGGAACATCTGATAAAAGCTGACTACACATATATATTTGTGGTCAGTTCCAGCACAGAGAGGTCTAACTCCCTCTCTTGAACATATATATTATAAAACTCCAGCAACATAGTGAAAATCCTAATATTATAGTCTAATGCTTTAAAAGTTTTTTCAACACCAATCACAGATACAGAGCATGTGAAAACCCATTATTTAACCATGTTTTAGAGCTGAGATCCCTAGGGCCCCAAAGAGAGGTATAATGTTTTCTGTAGAGGGTTTCTGAAAGAAATGCCATGATTAAAAACAATTATCATGAAGGAAAATCCATTAAATATGAAGCTGATAAAACAAGATTTATAAAAATCAATATAAAATCGTCATACTGTTGCGTCAATAGTCCAGTTTGTCCCAAATTGTGTGTTGCCCGGTGGAAACGGCTAACACTAGCAAACACAGGAGGGAGAATTAGCTAGCAAAGATGCTCTGATGCTATCTAGAACAGTTGAGTTTACAGAAATGCCAAAATATTGCGAGAAGCCCAGAAATGTAAGTTGCCACTGTATAAAAGTTTGACGTGTTTTCAAGACGTTATATAAAAATAAAACGTTTTAAAATGTGGCAGTCAATGTTTCAACCGCTATTTATGCAGCTAGAACATTCTACCAGAAACGTACATTTCAGGAGTAGCCTACCTCACCTCTGTGCGGAATGATGACTCCTGAACAGGTGAGGACAACAGCCACACATTACAAGTTTAGCTACACCTGTTAGACGTCGTTATAAACTTAAATATAGAACACGTCTTTACTCTTTTCTGGTTCTAGTCCAGCAGGAGTCGGTTTTGTGTCAAACCGTTACCAATTTCAAGGAGTTTCAGGAACGTGCAGGCCAAGCCTGGTAGGCCTCACTGAACAAGCAGCTTGTTTTTTGTTTTATATATGTCGTTTACGTCATTGAACTGTGTTTAATTTTCAAAGGAAGAGAATGACCTGTAATCTTCTCCTTTTATATCTGCACATAATGTTTTGCTCTTAACATTTGAGACTGACCTGCACATGTCCGTCATTGCTGTCAACTCAGGTTGGCTGAGATCTGTTCATCGAACCATAGGGGGCGCCAAAGTATCAGAAAGAGCCCGAGTCCTGCTCATCTGACCTGAATGCAGACAGGTCTTCTGTAATGAAGAGGCGAGAAGACCACTTCTCCACTGATGATGTTAAATGCAAGTGTCAATATGTTGTTGAAGTCTTAGCACTAATACTGCATGACTTAGGTCAGCTACTACTCCCTGCCTCCTGTCGAAGTGTTGGTAATTGCTGAATAAATAGGAATTTGCTATTTATGAATGCACAGGAATCAGGAATTGCTCATTTTGCATTTGTTATTATTTTCTCCATCACCACAGCATATGTTTGAGTATCCCTAGAAAAAAAAAGATCGAACCAAATTATGACTATGGGACAAATCACGTTTCATGTCAAATAATATCAAATATCAAGATCAAGTAAAACTAAATTTAGCCACAGAATGCCACCTTTCCGTACCTAGTGAGTGCTAGATGACCTTTGACCCTGTCCTGATGAGGCTCCTTGTGTTTGTAGAGGTGGCTGTCAGTTTGCTATAGGAGAATTATTTGCTTCCTGTTCTATTCTGCTTCTTGGCTGTGTTGATGAATCACACATATACACCATCTCCTTTGCCAGTACATTGAATGAAAAGACCTGCCACTCAGCACTATCTCTTCCTTGTCTGTGTTCAGGAGTGAAGAGCTTCCTTTCTCCTTTACCTGTCTCTGGGAAATCAACCTAAGCCTGTAATGGAGTAAGCATACTAACTGGAGTTTATCTATTTTACTATATATGCAGTCATGTATATTACAAGGTGTGGCATTCTTTATCATAGTAACGCTCTCTGCCTTTCTTCTTTTGTCTTTTTCCACCCACGTCTGTGACCTGTCCTTACCTGTACTTTCTCTTCCTCCCATCACCTTGGCTGAAAAGAAGCTGGCTGTCTCCTAACTCACTCTGATCATGGACCTGGAGACAGAACAACATCAACACACAGCCCATCACAGGTGAATATCATCAGTTTGTGAGAGCGTTTGTGTATGACAGAAAAGCATGGTATGTATAGTACACATAGAAAATCCACTGAATGAATGTGAATGGGTGAATGTGGCTTGTAGCGAAGAGGTGGTCGATATGGGTAGAAAAGTCCATTTACCATTTTACCATTCCAACTCTCAGCTGTCATTATAGCCCAATGTAAGACCTGCAAGCAACCATCTAATACTCCACAATTTACCTACCACTAAAATGTATTTTTACTGACTGAACTAATATCCACTGTGCATCATTGCTTTCTATATTGCAAAGTTGTGGGGACTTATTGACAGGAAGTGACAAACATCCTCTGATATTTATATAAAAAGCCCTGCTGTCAAAGCTGCATTAAATCACTCATGTTCAATGTTTTCACCACAGCCCATGATACAATAATCACTAAAAGGATAGATTCACATTTTTCAAGGCTATCTTGATACAGCATTCAGTTTTTTGGTTGTTGTAAATGTTCCTGCTGTCCATAGAGGCCATGGAGAGATCCCTTTATAACGCAATGCCAATGTAAGAGATGGGGGACAAAAAATGCCTACAAAGGTTAAGCTGAGGATAATATGAGCCTTCAATAGTCTGAGTTAAACAAATCAAGTAGCTGTCCTCCAAAGTTACTATGTTTTTAGTATCTTCCTCTCTGTGCTCCTCCAGAGAGTGTTTCCTTGTTAAGATGCAGTGGAGGGGCAGTAAGAAAAAGAGGGACTTAGGATCTATAAGGACCATGACTTTGGTAGATACCCACTGGATTTGGCTAACTCAGACTGCTGTAGCCTCATTAGCTTCAGCTGAACTTTAGAACGTACAGGTCATTCAAAAATTATTCAGACCCCTTCACTTTTTTCACATTTTGTTATGTTGCAGCATTTTGCTAAAATAAATTAGAATTTCCCCTCATCAATCTACGCTCAATACCCCATAATGACAAAGCCAAAACAGAATTTTAGAATTTTTTTGCAAATGTATTAAAAGGGAAAAACTGAAATATCACATTGACATAAGTATTCAGACCCTTTACTCAGGACTTAGTTGAAGCACCTTTGGCAGCAATTACACACTCCAGTCTTCTTGGGTATGACGTGACAAGCTATGCACACCTGGATTTGGGGATTTTCTGCCATTCTTCTCTGCAGATCCTCTCAAGCTCTGTCAGGTTGGATAGGGACCATAGGTGGACAGACATTTCCAGGTCTCTCCAGAAATTTTCAACTGGGTTCAAGTCAGCTCAGGCTGGGCCACTCAAAAACTTTCACAGTTGTCTCTAAGCCACCTTTTTAAATTAACTTAACTGCAAAGAAAGTGTCATGCTAGAATCTTTCATTAGTATTGGAGATTTGATCGACTGGGCATTTTTTTCCTATACTGTGATTGTGTAGTTGTATCTGAGGTCATTACATGTTGTTCTTTATCCTCACGTTTCTTTAGATAGTTATGTACTGCTGAAATATTGGTACTTGCTACAAACAGCCCTGCAACTCACAGAATGTTAGACCCGGTGCTAAAAAGATTGCGTCGTCCATGAACAGTGGTCGACCAATCGGAGCCTTTTGCTACAATATCTATTATTCACCTTGAATGCAAATAGACTGTTCCAATTAATATGTTCTTATGGTAACTGATTGACCTGTCAATCTTTCCTTGCAAAAGAAGCTTAGCTTGTTGAAGCTGCATTGCCTCATGTGCACACAAGAAAACGGAGTTTTCAGCTGGTCAGAGTCAAGGCCAGTCCACCATCTGTGAATGTAGACGGCAGGGAGCAGAACAGAACGACATTGAGTGCCGGCTATGCCTGGTGGCCTTAATGAATTAGTTAGTGGTAGGAGATGTTGACATAACACAGGTGCTTTGCTTTGACAGGCTCCCTCCAGTATTTAGCCAGGTGGGTGGACAGGGAGAGAAATATCACGCTAACAGCAGTAGCTTATTGCCTGCTCCGTAAGTGACCTTTTTTTGGACAGAAATAGCTGTTGTGACCTTTTAAAAACACAGAAGAATAAGTGGCTGCCTGGGTGTCGGGTCAGGAAGGATGGATCCTGAATGCTCATTCAATGAACTCACGAAAAAAAAAAATGGATAAATGTCTCATCAAACGAGTTTAAGAAGGAATTGATTCCAGGATAAAGTGCTTTTTACAGCTTCTTCTGTTATGTGGCCTTTTTGACGTTTGGCGGGCGTTTCCTGTACTCTGACGCCTTCAACGCGGCACTGAGGAACCGAACTGATGGGGACTCAGGAACGACCTCCACTGCTCTTAATGGTTCAGTGAAGACAGGAGATGCTGACCCCGAGGAGACGGGGAT